CAATTATCATCATCCAAATGAATTAATTACTTCTTTGTTCTTGTTTATTAGTTTTTTATTATTTGTCGGGATTTTTTCTGCTAATTTTTTACCTATATTATTAAAGAAACAATTAAATTCATTAGCTATTTGTTTTTTGTCTGTCACCTCTATGTTATTCTCATTGTTTATACTATTTATTTCTATTTTTGTCTTAAAATCATTAGTGGCTTCCGCTATGACTTTCCATGTACTTTTCGGATCCCGAATATTTTCTTGGGCAAGTTTTCGATAATATTCGTATTTTGTTTTTTTTATCAGTTTAGAGAGCGACTTTCTATATTCTTTGTACTTTACCAAGAGTTTGGGGATATGTTTTTTAATAGTACTTTCTTTTTTTAATTTGTCCCTATGCCTAATTGATACCAGTAAACCACCAGTAATCCATGGCTTTATCCTAAATCTTTTGTTACTTATATTTCTAGTTTGTGTGGACTCTTCTATTAAACTTTTTACCCTTTTTACAAATGTACCTGTGCATGAATTACTATCCCAGTTTTCCAGAACATCGTCCCACTCTGCTCCTTTCATCCTTTCATCAAGATTTTTATAGTTTATGCTTTTGTGCATGATATTTTTTTCTGAGTTTTCATTTTCAGTGCGGAGTTGAATATTGAGCAGCGTGGGGCTGTGATCTGTTATATTACACTCCAACACAAGTGGATACATTGTTTCCAGAATATTACTATTGCATTTAACAAAAATATGATCAATGCATGATTTGGATTCAGCAGTTACACGTGTAGGTTTGTTAATAGTACTCACAAAGCCGTGGCTTTGGAGCATAGTTAGATAATTGTTTGTTGTCTCAAGTTCGGTTGCCAGTAAGTCGATGTTTACGTCACCCGCTATAATTTTAATTCTATTGTCGTTTTTCATTGATCTATCTAATATTACATTTAAGCTATTTATAAAATCAGCTTTTGAGATAGCAAACCCTCTGTAGGTAGCATAAACATCCACCAACTTTTTCCCTTTCTTCATCTGAATCCTCACAACATTCAAATTATTTTCTTTAAGGATCTCATGTTGTACACACTGATCGTGCCTCACATAAACTACACACCCATCATTTCTGTTCAATGTACTATCATTAAAAAATACCCTATATCCCTCTATATTAAAGTCATTCAAATCATATACCCTATGTGTTTCAGTAAGTACTACAACATCAAAGTTTTTACCGGTAGATTGGAGAAATACCAAGAATTCATCAAAGTTTTTGTATATGCTTCTGATGTTCATTTGCATAATATTTATATCACTGTTTTTGAAAAAATGAATGTTTGAAATATTTTCACTTAGGTACATGTGTTTCACAGGTCTTATAGTCATCTAATAAAGCGTTGTGTTCCATGTATTCTATCCTTATTAGTTATTAAATTTGGTCCTCTGTATTTGTTGTAAGCGTTTATGTACTTCACACTTTTTTATGTCCCGGGCCACATGATCACAGTTTAGATTAAGTCCTAGTTTTTGGTTGGAAGACACACAGTTTATACATTTATTATAGACACTAGTACAGTTTTTCTCCTCATGCTCACCAGTACATTTTGGACAAGTAACCCTTTCCTTGCATTCTTTGCTAAAATAACCATATCTATGACATTTGAAGCATCTTATGATCCCAAAATCACCATATACCGGGCAGCGGTTCCATCCTATGTTAATTTTTTCCAAATCCATAAATGTATTATAGGTTATTGAGTCGACCTCTAGTATTACATTAAATCTATTATTAAAAAACTGCTGTTTTACGGATGACATTCAGTTTATAATCCTTATTTTGTTCTTGTATATTATTTTGCTTAATAATTTTATCAATTATGTCCTCGTTATCCATATTAAACTCACAGCCTTCGATTCCTACCACTTTAACCCGGTTTTGTTTGATTTTAGGGCGGTCTACGCTGTATGCATCACCGAGCTTGTTTTGGATTTGGGTTTGGATGTTTACAATCTCCTGTTGACTTTGACCATTACATTTTAAAATTAAACGCCCATCTTTTGTTGGCCGGCCTATTGATAAACCGATTCCAATTTCGGTAGGATTTACTTTATTTTTCAAATCTTGTTTAAATACTGCCCAGCTAGCAAAGTAGTTCTGTAAATTTAGGGTAATAGGACTTTTATGTTCTATTAGTGTTTTATAGTTGTATCCGGAACACTAAATTGTTGTATTGATGTCGCACATAAGCCCATTTTGCCTCAAGAAACCGAATTGTTGTTTAAACTTATTGCAAGAACGTTCTTAGAGCATAATTATAGAGCATATATAAGATAAGTTTCAAAGTTGTTGTATAAGAGTGCAAAGTAACATAATTTTACAGCAACAATGCTTATAGAGTCAAATTACTGTGAAACCGATGTCAAGTATTGCCCTATAGAATTAAACTATCCCATGTGGAACTTTTATAGAATGACTCTATAATGTCGCTTATAGTTCTTTTAATAGAACTATTGGGTAAGGGGTCGCTAAGTGACAATTCTGCTGCGAAGTACAAAATTATCAATATTGGAGCCGCTAACGAACTCAGGGAAAAAAGCTCTCTAAAGCTGTTATAGAGGATAATATTGTGGTAATAATAGAATCATTATAGAGTAAATAAGTGATAATGGAAGCTTTTTTGTTCAATCAAAAACGGTATAGAACTATTATACCTCCTTTGATGACGCCATATGTTTAAATAGTTTATTTTCTTGGTGTGTATGTGTTGGACAACATTTATTTTGGAAAATGCCATTAAATAAATGGAAAAAAGTTAAAAAAAGTGGAGCGTTTCGTAGGAAAACAAAGAAAATCTACGAAACCTTGTTACGCGATAGTCGCGATAGTATATCTTTAAATAACACTAACACTACTGCTATAAATGATGTCCAGGAGGCGACAGCATTACAAACAGATGGAGCCGTATTGGTGGGCGAGGAAGAAAAAAATGAAACAGATTTGGACCTAGAAGAGCAAGAAGATGACGAAGATATAATAAAAAGAAATGACTGGCTAATAGAGCTTCAAAACAATAACGAAGATGATTTTGTAATATCAGAGACAGAGAAAAATGCAGAATTTACAAAGGATCTTCGAATATGGGCAGTAAAATACAACATCTCACATTCGGCGTTGAGGGACTTATTTAAAAGTATCAACAAACGTTTACCAGATATTCTTCCTGAAGATCCAAGAACGCTTTTGAAGACTTGCCAAACTGTAATTATGATTAAGGTTGGAAATGGCGACTACTGGCATCATGGTTTCGAGGTATGTTTGAGACAATTAGTCTTATCACCAATGCTCAAATTACCCAGGAGTATTAGTGTGAATATAAATATAGATGGGTTGCCTATTTACAAAAGCAGCAGAATGGAATTTTGGCCGATACTTTTTAATATTTTTGAACTACCTGAAGTGAAACCTATGGTCATTGGCATATACTGCGGCGCAGGAAAGCCGTCCAGTTTAACAGCATTTCTGCAACCTTTTGTTAGTGAAGCCCAAACAATATTTTTGGAAGGACTCCTGATAAATGAAGTCATTATTGATGTCAAGCTGAGATGTTTTATATGCGATTCACCAGCCAGAGCCTTCATCAAAGGTAAATTGGAGAATATCCATTACATAATTGTCTTATCTACATTTCCGAAGTGAGAATAGGTAGAGGTACTTATAACTTTACTTTGTTTTTGCAGGTGTCTCAAATTTCAACAGTAAGCACGGATGTATAAAATGTACCACCGTTGGTGAGTACTCGCATACTTCTCACACTGTGTTTTTCCCCAGAGCCGGCTGCGAGAGAAGAACAAATGACAATTTCCGTGCTCAAAATTATGGATCACATCATAAACAGGATTCTCCTTTACTTCATTTGCCAATAGATATGGTTGAAGACTTTCCTGTAGGAGACTCATTACATTTACTGGATTTAGGTATCATGAAGAAATGTTTGTTGGGCTGGAGAGATGGCAGCTTTGGTAGTTATAAGACGAAATGGTGCGCCAGAGATATAGAAACAGTTTCGAAATTTTTGGGAAAATGGAAAATGCCACGCGAGTTCCATAGATCTGTACGTGGTTTGGATGTGTTGTGTCACTGGAAAGGTTCAGAATACCGCACATTTTTGTATTATTTAGGTATAGTAATACTTAAGGATGTGTTGGCTCCCGAAGTATACTTACATTTTCTACTTTTTTTTTGTGGGGTAACTATATGCTCATCCAATTCATATAAACATTTCCTTGATCTAGCAGAAACTTTACTCAATAATTATGTAGAATACTATAGAGATTTTTATGGAGAAGACTACATTACCAGCAACGTTCATAATTTGACACATTTGGTCGAAGAAGTCAGGAAGTTCGGTACTCTGTTAACTTTTAATGCTTATCCCTTCGAAAACAAACTGTACCAAATAAAAAGATTATTAAGAAATGGTAACTTACCTCTGGCACAAGTTGCCAAAAGGATGAGTGAATTTATCAAGTTAGAAAATGATTCCGTAAAAGAGAAAAATTCCATATGTTCAAGAGGCTTTCCAATATTAAAAAATAGAAATGCCTTGGGACATTTTTCTAGAATAGAATTTAATGAATTCTCATTGTCATCAGATTACCCAAATAAATGGTTTTTAACTCAGAACAATAATATTATTAGTTTCCAATACGCATCATTAGGTAACGACGGAGAGACAGTTATTTGTGGTTCTTCTATATAAGAAATAGAGAATGTTTTCGATATTCCTATCAAATCTTCTCACCTCAATATTTTCAAGTCAAACCGAGTGGAACATAATCATTCAAAGTTATATTTAATCTTTGAAATTAAGAGTAAAGTTGTTGCCGTAGATTATAAAGAAATAACTGTATTCTTTCCTTTGTTACATAGTTTAGAGAAATAAAGTTTAAGAAAAAAGTACCCAATAAACATTTTATTAAAATAAGATTCCCAAAACACAAACTACTTGGACGGAATATTATAATACATATATTATATAAATCAAATGTCTTTTAACCCTATAAAAAAAACTTTCACATTATATAAATCATATATATGTATGTAACATAAAAACAAAATAAACTTCATTATTCATGACACTGCAGTTTTCATGTCTTCAGTAAATAAAAATAAATCACAAAATTCTCTTCTTTGGAACCGTCAATCAATGGGCTGGCTTATTGGTCGCATTCCTTCGAAATAAAACAATTAATAGCTTTTATATGGAAAAAAAATAGAATGATATAATCACCTGACTATCGGATAAAGCATCAGAGTTACATTGCTCTTCCATGCCATTTTCGTCATCTAACATAGGTATTTCATTTTCAATGATGTCATTGGAATCAACTTTTTCCTGTGGTTTTTCCATTTCCTCTGAGGCAGAAGCAGGTTTCTTAGGGAGCCTTCTTTTAATAGCTGAAGTTCTTAACAGATCGCTTTTGCTTCTCCTGGTCGAGTTCCTTATGACATTTTTGATAAAATCCTCGCAGTCTTTTTGTGTGAAACTTTTGTTTGATAAATGCACGACGTTAAAAAAAAGCGTTTTTATACATCTTAAAAGCCACTTTTTCCTGTTCTCCTCTTGCGCCACCAGCCCACGAGCACAGGGTCATGAATTTTCTGGAGAACATCCTATCAATTAATATGTAACAGTTGTTAACTCCATGGCCATCACCTCTTTTTCCACAAACTTGACTAAGTCTTTCTATATTTTCCTGCATTATTTTTCTGTCTTTTAGCTTACTTTCAAATGCATCAAATTGTTCTACTGCTTCAATGCGGTCTATGTATATATCTTCGACTATCTGAGAAGATTTTTTACAGGAACAATTATTAATGCTGTTCATATTTGTCATTTTTTCTGCAATTACATCTGCCATAGCCTCAAATTTTGATAACTGCTGCAAGATTATCAGCTGATTATCATTAGTTCCAAGTCCTTTCAAGCTTTCGAGTAAAGTTGCTTGGTTTTCTATAATTATTCCTTGGTTTTCAATAATGTTTGTTAATAATTTATCATTTAAAGTATTCGTATCGGTCGGTGATATGTCACTTGTGGCAACAGTAGCAGTGGAAATGTATGGTTCATTACTCGAATAAATATCTTTAATATTTTCAGCATTTAAATAAAAAATATTTTGTGGAGAGTTATCAGTGAGACTATCAGCAATCAAACTATTATTTACACTGTTGTATTGAACTGTCTTGGAAGTCGTTGCTAGTTCATCTGGAGCCCTCGCTGGAGCCTGAGAAATATGAGGATTATTATGTGATACATGCATTATAATCTTGTGAAAACTTACCATGCAAGCAGCAGTAGCCTTCACTGCCATCTCATTGAAATCATATTCTGTTTTTTTCTTTGGGAGCATAACCCTAACTCGTTTTTTTGGCTGCACTTCTTCTTCCTCTGCCTCAGTCGAATCCTCTTTCATAAGCATATCAGATAGTTCTTTTTCAGCAATCTCGTATGTTTGTAGTCCTTTTCTTTTCAATTTACAAACCATTTGGAACCAAGAAACTTCAGGTACAGAGTTTCCTATTTTAATAAGTTTATCGGCTTTCATTTTGGGCCAGAAAAGTACCCCCTGTTTTTCCCATGCCTGAGGAACTATGGTTAGTTGCTTGGAACCTCTTTCTATTGTCTCGACTATTTTATACATATTTTTGTGTATGTATTTATTTATCCGCTATAAACAATCACATAAACTAAATATAAACTAAACACAGCGCGCAAACATCTAAAATAACTTTTAAGGTTATGTTTAGAAATATCGTATAAATGGGCAAAATTATACGTTAAATCGCATTAGATTCTATTAAAGTTGCTATACAGTACACTAACAGAACAACGGAATACAAAATTGTTCTATAAAGGTTCGGTTATTGTCTTATATTTGAATATCGAAAATGCCATTCCCGCTCAACGAATTTCTATGAACCGACCTCTGGGACCTGACTGTCGACCGATGTACAGCGATGTACAGCGCCACTTCAATATACCTACCTGCACAGAACACTAACTACTCTACTTGTTTCTTCTGCTGTAGAGGTACTTTTCAAAGGGTGCAGTGAGTTTAAATTAGAGAAAAGTAGGTAATGAAACTGATGAATTCTGGAGATATCCGGAATTATAATTTTATTTTGTCTTGACTATCCTATTATTTTTAATTGAAAAATATCCTATTTCCATTTCCTTTAATTAAATAATCTACTATTACAAAACTTATTGAACCAGATTTTTTGGTATGTGGAGAATATCACCTTTGAAAAACATAGGTAGGTAACATACATGACAGTAGGGTAATGGGTAATGGGTAATAGCTTTGTTTGTTTATTTGTTTGTAGGTACCAAAGTTACACCAAGCTGCATCAGGTATAAAATGAAAAGCGAATTAGAATCAAAATTTAAAAGCAAAAAGACTACATAGGATATCAGATAATTAGGGACATTTTCGAAGAGTTAAAATAACATAAAAAATGATGAACATTTATTATTTAACTTCAACTACATTCAAGATAACGGAAGGTAAAACAAAATGAGACAAATTAGTTTGAACCTTCGGTTCAGGAATTATCGTGAAATATGACAACACTGTGGAGATTGAATAGGATAGATGCTGTATAGTAGCTGTTTATGGAGGATATTTGCTCTATTGTCATTGCAATCGACACAAAAATGTCATATTAGTGAGAAGCCATATTGGAAGTACAAGAAAAGCTTTTCTTTCTGACGCCATATTGTCAAGAAAACAGAAAAAATCATACTAAACATTGATAAAGTCAAAATAGCTTTAATGGCATCAATATTATGGATTTTATCTACTTTCTGACTTATGGCATTAACAGTTGGAAAGTAAATTCATCAATTTGAAAAAAAAAAAAAAAAATAATTATCCTGCATTATAGAAAATATCAGGTAAACTGAGGGCGCATCAAAAATTTACCATAATATGCTACCACGTTTCACAATAAAACTTTTTCCGCATTAAAATTTACTGCTTCCTTGGTTCTACAAACTAATTAAGCAGTTGATAATAGTGTAAAGTTCTCTCATATACAGTTTGTTTTTTTGATGGAGTCCATTATTCCTGGCATGTACCAGCGGTGATGGCGATACGGAATCATTTTGTTTGTAAAAGATGCAATTAAACGATATCAAAGTTCTCTAAATAGAAAACAATGCAACAAAAAAATTGTATAACGAAACGATAATAATGTATAATAGTTCTTTATTTGTTCTATAACAGAATTCTAAAACATCATTTTAGAACTGCTATGGAATATTTAATAGAATGCTTTGTAACTGTTGTATAAAAATTCTTTAAGACTTCTAAGAACGTTTATTCAGCAATTCTATAGGTGTTCCCTGCAGACCTTACACAACATCTTAAAGAGCTAAAGAGCTCTATAGAATGGTGCCCATTTTTATCGTATAGGTGTTGTAAGAACGTTTTGAAAACGTTCTTAGAACAAACATTGCTCTATTAAATTTGCTCCGGAAACGTTCTTAGGACTTTTATAGAACATGGAATTGTTAGCTGGGTGAAATATCATTTTGAGTCGAATTTTGTTTTACAAAAAGAATCTTATTTTCATTTTTAGTTACCGATGCATATGTTTTATCAGGGACCTTTGTTTCCTTTATTTTAGCTTCTTTGAGATATGCAAGTTCATTTTTAAGGCTGATATTTTCGGCTAACAGTAAATCCACCTTTTTATTCAGCTCTTCAGTTGTTTTTACTAATAAATCCAGTTTGTTATTTATAGCATCTATCACATTAGCATCGACATAGTTGTCTTCAATACGGCTTCTTTTCCGGGGTCTTTCGGTTTTGTTTACCTCCGGCACTATAACCTCACTTTGCTTGCCAGTGCATGTATTGCATTTCCACACTGATTTTTTCATGTGAAACCCTCTAAGTTCTATATTTTCGCACTTTCCATGAAAACACAAATGGCAATTTGTGCACTCAATAATGGTTTTAACATCATCGAAGATTTCTTTGCACGAAAAACACTTATTTATGTCCGGACTGTTTACTTTGTCGACTACACCGTACGTCGCCATGATTAAAAAAGCATTTTTGCAATTCTACGTAATTTTTGAAATTAGCCTAATTTTTTTGAATAATTTTCATTGTTTTCCGTGATACTCGATTTTTATAATTCTTCTCTCAATTTTTCTAATAGTTAATGCAATTTCCGTGATTTTTTGAAATTTTTGTGATTTTTGTTAATATTTTTCCATATTACGTAATTTTCCAATAATTTTCGTAATTTTACATAATTTTTGAAATTTCCATGATTTTTTTTCGTAATTTTATAATTCTCCTAATTTTTCAATAATTGTAATTCCCGTATTTTTTTGAAATTTCCATGATTTTTTGTAATATTCGTTATTTTTCATTTTTATAATTCCTGTAATTTACGTAATTTATCAATGACTTTTGTAGTTCTACGTAATATTTGAAATTGCCAATAATTTCCATACTCAAATTTTATAATTCTCCTTTTTAGTTTTTAATAATGGTGGTTTCCGTTTTTTTTTTAAATTTTTCGTGATTTTTGCAATTCTCGTGATTTTTGTTATTTTTCCGTAATACGTTATTTTCCAATGTTTTCGAAATTTTAATAATTTTTGAAATTCCCGTGATTTTTTTCGTAATTTCATAATTCTTCTAATTTTTTACAAATTTAATTCTCGCAATTTATCCATGATTTTTGTAATCCTCGTGATTTTTGTAATTTTTTCGTAATTTCTGTAATTTGCCAATGATTTTTGCAATTTCACGTAGTTTTTGAAATTTCTGTAATTTTTTAAAATAATTTCCATTACATAAGTATTTCCATTCCGGATTTTTTTCGTAATTTTGCAATTCTCATTTTAATTTTTCAATATTTGTAAGTGCTGTAGTTTTTTTCAAATTTTCATGATTTTTGCAACTTTAATGATTTTTTGTTTCCGTATTTTACGTAATTTTCCAATTATTTTTGTAATGTTACATAATTTTTGAATTTCCAGTATTTTTCAAACTTATTTTCATTGCTTTTGTAATACACGATTTTTTTGTAATTTTTTAATTTACCTCTTAGTTTTTTAATAATTAATGTATTTTCCGTAATTTTTCAAAATTCCCGTGATATTTACAATTTTTTCGATTTTTCTCATTTTTTCGCGATCCCTGTAATTTTTGAAATTTTTATAATTTTTCAATTTATTTTTATTTATTTTATATTTTCCGTATTCCTGTATTTTCCGTAATTTTTTAATGGAATTTTTATAATTTTCCTAATTTTTGTGATTTCCGTACTTAATTTTTTGAGGAATCTTTGCAAATTCGGTAATTTTTTGATTTTTTCGTAGTTTCTAATATTTTTTAATTTTTGTAATTCTTTAATAAATTATTCTCGTATTTTTTTAATTCTTTTAATTTTTATAATTCTCATAATTTTTTAAAAATCTAGTAACTTTTTATAGTTATGAAATTTTTATAATTTCTGCTAATTGCAATTTTTGTAATTTTCGTAAAATTTTCCGAAATTTTTGCAATTCTTATATTTTTTAAATTATTAATTCAAAACTATAGGAATTATATACATAATTCAAAATTTCAAAAAATATTCTGAAATTACGGAAATTATTCGAATATTACCGAAATTACGAAAAATAACGGAAATTCCAAAAAAATAGGGGAATTACAGGAATTATTCCAAAAATGCAGGAATTACCTACTCAAAATTATTCAAAATTACAGGAATTATTTGTAAATTACGGAAATTTTCTCAATATTACAGAAAATTACGGAATTTACGAAAAATGGAAATTATGAAAAATTACGTGAATAACGGAAAATTACGAGAATTATGGATTTTACGAAAAACTATAAAAATTACAGAAATTATTACAAAAATTTTAAAATTTTCAAATGAAAAATCACTCCATAAAAAATTCTGGAAAATTGACTTATTTAAGCAAAATTAAGGAAAATTCACCCTGTTACATTTTAATTTTTTTCTGGAAAACTGGCAGAGGGAAAATTTTGAATATTTTCCAAGAAAAAGAGAAAAGTGAGGAGCCCATTATAGGAAAATTTCGGAATTTTTCAGTGAGAAATCATTCTAGGGAAAATTCTGGAAAATTTACTTTTTCAAGTAAAATAAAGGAAAATTAATCCTCTCACATTTAAATTGTTTTCAGGAAAAATGGCAAAAGAGAAGAAAGAGGAAAGTCAGGCGCTCATTATAAGAAAATTTCGAAATTTTCCAATGGAAAATCGCT